ATATATATATTATATATATATAATTATTTATATATATATATATTAATTCAATTAGATAAAAAATAAATAAATAAATAAACAAATATTATATACATAAATAATATACTATATAAAATATATATATTATATATATATAGATAAATAAATAGTAAATGGAATAATAAATAAATAATAATAAAAAACAAATTATATATATAACTTATATATATATATATATATTATATATATTCATATATATATATATATATATATAAATAAATATATTATATATAAATAGATAATATATATATATAGATATATATATATATATATATATATATATACTATACTATATAGTATAATAGTATGATATAGATAGATAAATAATATATATATATATAAATAAATAAATATATATATGTATATATATATATATATTATATAATATATATATATTATATATTATATATATAATTATATATATATATGGGTGGATAGACAAAAGATAGAATGGATGGTCAATCAGACCGATGGAGACAGATAGACAAGTAGAGAGACAGACCAACACAGACAACCACACGCAAAGAGAGAGCTCAGCAACACCTTAAAGAGGGAGAGATAAAGAGATTGATAGGTACCGCTTGGTCATGTGACTTTTTGGGTTATAATGAGGTATTAATATTCTTTGTCGTTGAGTGATAATAAAAAGACAGTTTGAAATTATGGAGTATTTTATTTGAATTTCTTAATGATTATAAAATGCACATGAGCGCACGTACGCACACACACACGCACACGCACACACACAGACACACACACGCACACACACACACACACACTCTCGCACACACGCACACACACACTCCCGCACACACACGCATGTATAATATTACATATGAATGGACTAGATAAATGACCTTAATTAAACCCGAATATCGGACCAGAAATAAAATCAGCAGTAAAAATACTGCTAGTAGTAATCGCAGTAGTTGTAGTAATAGTAGTTGTAGTAGTAGTAGTAGTTGTAGTAATAGTAGTATAGTAGTAGTAGTAGTAGTGTAGTTGGTGGTAGTAGTAGTAGTAGTAGTTGTAGTAGTAGTAGTAGTTGTAGTTTGTAGGTAGTAGTAGTAGTAGTAATAGTAGTAGTAGTAGTTGTAGTAGTTGTAGTAGTAGTAGTTGTTGTTGTAGTAGTAGGAATAGAAGTTGTAGTTGTAGTTGTGCTAGTAGTAGTAGCAATAGTAGCAGCAGTAGTAGTAAAGATACATTTACAAACACACAACACGCAAAACAAACACACAAAACAAACACACAACAAACACACACACACAAAACAAACAAACAAACACACACACATCACACCAAAGTCTTCCTCCTCTTCATGAAGTGCCGCGTCAGAACACCGACCACCAAGAGGCTCCCGACGGCGATCATCACCGACCATATGATCGTCATGGTGGGAGACCTCATCATGAAGAGAAGCGTCTGCAGTTGGCCGACCATCTCCTCTGGGACTCCGGCTGCCACTTCGAACCACATGAAGAGCATGTACACTTCGGGGACTTCACTTAAGATGCTGTTGGGGGGGGGGGGAGAGGGTGGTGGGGGGAGGTATGGGGGGTAGGTGGGAGAGGGGGTAGAGGTGGAGAGAGGTATGGGGGTAGGGGGGGTTGGGTGGAGGGGGAGGAGGAGGAAAAAAGAGGTGGGGTTTAGTATAGTATAATAAATGATGATAATGATAATAATGATAATGATAATAGTGATAATGATGATGATGTTAATATTAATATTAATGATAATAATAATGAAAACAATAATAATATAAATCATTATTATTACCATAGCAAAACTGGCAATGAAAATAATGATAAAAATTATTATGATAATGAAGATTATAACAATAATACTAACAACAATGACAATAATAATAGTAATAACAATAACATCAATAATAATAAAACCACCACCACTACCAGTACAACAAATTCTAACAACAAATTAAAACAAAGAAAAAATGACAACTAACTCGATCTCTCCAACAAATTCTAACAACGACAACAACAAAGAAATGAAAAAGGCAACTAACTCGATCTTTTCTACAAATTCTAACAACAAAAAAAATTATTACCAAAGAAAAGACAACTTACTTATCTTTCCCACACTTCTTAACAAATTCTAACAACAACAAAGAAATTATTACAAAGAAAAAGACACACTTTACTTGATCTTTCCCACACATTCTAACAAATTCTAACAACAACAACAAAGAAATTAAAACAAAGAAAAAACAGCAACAACTAACTCGACTTTCCCACAAATTCTAACAATATCAAAAACAACAACAATGAAATTAAAACAAAGAAAAACAAGTAACTCGATCTTTCCAACAAATTCTAACAAATTCTAACAACAACAACTAAGAAATTAAAACAAAATAACAACTAACTCGATCTTTCCAACAAATTCTAACAAATTCTAACAACAACAACAACAAAATTAAAACAAAGAAAAAAACAACTCGATCTTTCCAACAAATTCTAACAAATTCTAACAACAACAAACAACAAAATTAAAACAAAGAAAAACAACTCGATCTTTCCCACAATTCTAACAAAGTCTAACAACAACAAAGAAAATTAAAAAAAAGAAAGCAAATTAACTCAATCTTTCCAACAAATTCTAACAACAACAAAGAAAATGAACTAAACAAAGCAACAACAACTAACTCGATCTTTCCAACAAATTCTAACAAATTCTCAAACAACACACAAACAAAGAAACCAAAACAAAGAAAAAAAAACAACTAACTCGTCTTTCCCACAATTCTAACAAAATTCTAACAAAACAACAAAGAAACAAAACAAAGAAAAAGACACACTTTACTTGATCTTTCCCACACATTCTAACAAATTCTAACAACAACAACAAAGAAATTAAAACAAAGAAAAAACAGCAACAACTAACTCGACTTTCCCACAAATTCTAACCAATATCAAAAACAACAACAAAGAAATTAAAACAAAACAAAAGAAAAACAACTAACTCGATCTTTCCAACACATTCTAACGAACAACAACAAAGAAATTATACAAAAAAACAACTAACTCGATTTTCCAAAAAATTCTAAAACAACAAAAAAATCAAAACAAAGAAAAAGAGACACCTTACTCGATCTTGCCCACAAATTCTAACAACCAACAACTAAGAAATTAAAACAAAGAAAAACACTAACCCGATCTTTCCACAATTCTAAACAAATTCTAACAAAATTCTAACAACAACAAAGGAATGAAACAAAGAAAAAACAACTAACTCGATCTTTACCAACAAATTCTTAACAACAAAGAAATAAAACAAAGAAAAAAAACAACTAACTCATCTTTCCAACAAAGCTAGCAACAAACAAAGAAATTATTACAAAGAAAATTGAACACCTTACTCGATCTTGCCCACAAATCTAACAACAACAACTAAGAAATTAAAACAAAATAACAACTAACTCGACTTTCCAACAATTCTAACAATATCCAAAATCAACAACAAGAAATTAAACAAAGAAAAAACAGCAAACAACTAACTCGACTTTCCCACAAATTCTAACAATATCAAAAAACAACAACAATGAAATTAAACAAAGAAAAAAACAAGTAACTCGGATCTTTCCAATACATTTGACACAACAACAAAGAAAATATATAAAAACAAAAAACAAAAAACATTTAATAAAGAAAAAAAAAAAATTCTAACAACAACAAGAAAATATACAAAAAAAAAAACAACTAACTCGATCTTTCCAGAAAAATTTCTAAACAACAAAGAAATTAATAAAAAAAAAACAACTAACTCGATCTTTCCAGAAAAAAATCTAACAACAACAAAGAAAATAATACAAAAAAAAAACAACTAACTCGATCTTTCCAGAAAAATTCTAACAACAAAAGAAATAATACAAAAAAAACAACTAACTCGATCTTTCCCAGAAAAATTCTAACAACAACAAAAAAATTCAAAACAAAGAAAAAGAGACACCTACTCGATCTTTCCAACAAATTCTAACAACAACAACTAAGAAATTAAAACAAAGAAACAACTAACTCGATCTTTCCCACAAATTCTAACAAATTCTAACAACAAAGAAATTAATACAAAGAAAAAACAACTCGATCTTTCCAACAAATTCTAACAACTAACAACTAACAACAAAAGAATTAAAAAAGAAAAAACACACTAAACTCGATCTTTTAACAAATTCTAACAAATTCAACAACAACAAAGAAATTAAAACAAAGAAAAAAAACAACTAACTGATCTTTCCACAACTTTCTAACAAATTCTAACAACAACAACAAAGAAATTAAAACAAAAAAAGAGACACGTTACTCGATCTTTCCCACAAATTTTAACAACATCAACAACAACAACAAAGAAACCAAAACAAAGAAAAAAAAAACAACTAACTATCTTTCCCACAACTAACAAATTCTAACAACAACAACAAAAAAACCAAAACAAAGAAAAAAACCCAACTAACTCGATCTTTCCCACAAATTCTAACAAATTCTAACAACAACAACAAAGAAATTAAAACAAAGAAAAAACAACAACTAACTCGATCTTTCCCACAAATTCTAACAAATTCTAACAACAACAACAAAGAAATTAAAAACAAAGAAAAACCCAAACTAACTCGATCTTTCCCACAAATTCTAACAATTTCAACAACAACAACAACAACAAAAACCAAAACAAAGTTAACTCGATCTTTCCACAACTAACAAATTCTAACAACAACAAAGAAATTATTTACAAAGAAAAAGCAACAACTCGATCTTTCCACCAACTTCAAACAACAAAAAATTAAAACAAAGAAAAAACAACAACTAACTCGATCTTGCCGCGTCCAAGGGCGTTCCCAGGATAAGGACGAACCAGCATGTTGATCTGCATCCTCGCCGCCACCCACATGGGCGTCCCCAGCTCCTGTGGGCGGGAGAGGGGGGGGGGAGGGGTGAAAACGTGGGATT